GGGGCAGGGGGCAGGGGGCAGGGGGAGGGGGGGAAGAGAGGGCCAGGACTGGCATGGCATGCAAGCCATTCGCCACAGGTATGCCTACCATGGGTGTTCCTTGTCCGGCTTTCAGCAGTGTCAGTGGGAACATGGTGCTCGCAGTGAAAGTGGGGTGTGTCCTCCGACCGCCACCTCCCCCCCTCTTCCCCCTCCCCCGCCTCCCGCCTCCCGCCTCCCGCCTCCCGCCTCCACCCGCTCGATTAGCTCAGTATCTACAATCCCGGCAAAACGGTTTAATCGCTACGCAAGAGCACCAAGCTACAGACGCGAGTGCGAAGGCGCGGCCTTGAGGAGGGCGACAACGTCGTGCTTGGAGTACTCGACCGCGACCTGGAGCGGGGTGAGGCCGGCGGCGTTGGTGACCGAGGTGGAGGCGCCAGCGGCGAGGAGGAGCTTGACGACATCGGCGTGGCCAAAGCGCGCGGCGTCGTGGAGCGCCGTGTCGCCATACACGTCCTGCACGTCCGGGTTGATGCCGACCTCGTTGCAGAGGTAGTCGATGACCTGGACGTGGCCCCAGAAGGCCGCCTTGTGCAGCGCCGAGCGCGACGACGAGGCCTCGAGCTGGTGGACGTCAGCGGCGGGCGTAGCCTTCTTGAGCGGGCCAACCGAGCCGTGCATGGCGAGCTCGCGGAACTTGGCCGAGCTGGCGTCGCTCGACGCGCCGGCACCTGAGAACGGGCACTTGCCGCTGGGCGCGGCAGCGGCCGGCGCAACAGGGAACGGCGTGATTGGCGGCTCGACGCCGGGCACGTTGAACGGATTGCACGCCTCGGGGCAGCCGAGCGCGAGCAGCTTGGCGTACGCCTTGGCAAAGTCGGCAAAGAACAGGTCCTGGTCGTTGGCATACGCCCGCGCCCACTTGGCATACTCGGCATCGGTCCGCATCGCCATGTCCGTCGGCAGCATCATCAGCTCGCCAGTCGCCACGTCCTCGTACTGCAGCGGGCCATCCCACTCCTTGACCTGCCACTCCTCGAACATGAGGTTGCGGAAGTACTCGTTGTCGAACGAGAGGTTCTTGCGGGTCCACGGGCCGTCAAAGCCTGACCGCACAATGTGCGCCCGCCCCACCGTGTGCCCACCCATCAGCGCCACCGTCTCGCGGTCAGAGAAGCCCATGCGGGTAAAGAACTCGCGGACGTGATCGGCACCCTTGGACGCGTCCGGAATCCGCCCGTTCTCCGGGCAGCTCGACCCGTCGTCGGCATCAGTCCGCCCAAACGCGTGCGGGACGACCGGGCCGCCCATAAACTCGGTCGCCACCGCTCCAGCGTAAGTCCACAAGTCCGCCTCGGACACCTCCGGGTGCGCCTTCTTCACCTCGTGCAGCATGTCACGCACAATCGAGAGGCCCTTGTTGGCATCGTCCGAGATCTCCGGCTCGAACCGCATCGTCGCCCCGTCCGACCCGCCGGTCCCGTCGTGTTTGTCAAACGTCCCGGACGCATGCCACGCCACCCGCAGCGCAATCGGGCACGAGAACGACTTGCGGTTGATCAGTGCCGCCCGCACCTCTGACTTGAGAGCTTCCATGTTGACCGGCTTGTCCACTGCCATCCCCATCCCAGTCCCAGTCCCAGTCCAGTCCCAGTCCCAGTCCCCCCGCCCGCCCGATCCCCGGCCCCCGACCCCGACCCACACGCCACACAAGCCCAAGCCCAAGCCCACCATGAGTCACTCCCGTCCCCACCCCCGCCCCCACCCCCCACTCCCGCTTTCTCTCTCTCCTCTGCTCACATACTGCTGTTGTGTTGCCTCTGTTGTTCCGAGAGCTGTGTGGCTGCTCCCCCTCCTTGCTGACCTTGCGGCTGCATTTTCTTCGCCTCACCACACACGTGCATCGCTACCGGCGCAATACGCTTCGACCAGCGCATCCCATGCCTCGCGCTCGTCGTGGGTCATGGCAGAAACCTGCGCTGGCGTGACTTGGTCCACCACCACTGCTTGCCCGCACACGCTGACGGTGGCCGTCGACGGATCAAAGCCCTCGTTCTCGTCGTCCTCGCCCTCGCCGCCACCGTCGTACTCGTCGTCGTACTCGCCGGCCTCGTCCATATGCGCCACTCCGTCGGCTTGCCCGGCCCGCCGCCGCTTACGGCCATGGGCCTGGAAAATCGAGTCGAGCTCGCGCTCGAGCTCGAGGTCTTCGGTCGTCTGCTCGATGACCGGTGCGCCGTCGGGCGAGATCTCGACAAAGGTGACGACAGGGCCGCGGGCCCTCGGGCCGGCCCGCGGCTGTGGCCTGCTCGTGCTCTCGAGCTCCATCGGCGCGCACTGGGCCGCCGTGCCCGCCCGGCGTCGCTGCTGCTTGCGCCGCGAACACGGACCTCGTCGAGCTTGCGGACGAGCCGCTGCGAGCGGGCGAGCGCCGACTCGCGCCCACCGCCAAGCTCGAGCTGCGAGACGTCGACGGTGGTGCCCTGCGCCGCCGCCGTTCGCGCCCGCGCCTGAATCCGCGCCTCGCGGAGGACAAGGTCCTCGTTGGCAATGGCAAACCGCGAGACCTTGATCTGCGGATCGGTCTCGGACGGCGGCGGGACGGCCGGCGCCACCATCCACGCCGGCAGCTCGGTCATGCCGCCGGCTTCGCGCGAGGCGTGTGCCGACGACGGCCGGATGTCGACCGTGATCCGCTGCGCGCCCATGCCGAGCTTGGCCTGCCGCACCTGCCGCAGCCGTGTCTCCTCCTCTTCGTTGAGCTTCCACTTGAGCTCCTCCTCGGTGAGGATGGCATTGTTGCCGTCGGCGTCGACGTGCCAGGTAAACTGCTGCGTTTGCTCAAGCAGCCGCCCGATGGGATCCAGCTGCTCGTTGAGCCGCTTCTCGCGCGCCAGCAGCGACGCGTGCTCGGTCTTGGCGTCAATCCGCTCGAGCCGAACCCCGCATCGTGCACACCGAAAGTGGCCCGTCGCCGCCTCCATGTCGCCAAACTTCTTGCCGCACGTCTTGCACTCAAAGGCAAACCGCGCCACCGCCGTGATCGCCTCTTCCATCTGCTTCTTCATCTTGACAAACCGGTACGTCACCGCGTCGACCACGCCCTTAAAGTTGATCCAATAGTAGTCGTTGGCTGTCCCCTTAAAGTCAGCAATCGTGTACTCGTGGCCCTCCTTGAACTCGAGCTCGGGCTCGGCTGTGATCCGCTTCTTGGTCACCATCCGCTCCAGCTCCAGCGGCTTGAGATACATCGTCAGCTGCTTCTTCTGGAACTTCATCAGCTCTCTGAGGTCGTCGTCCTTGATCGGCGCCTTGGCCAGCAGCATGTCCATCAGCACAATCGACGGCCCGTCGTAGAACGCACGCATCACCTTGCGCGTCAGCTCCGCGAGCACCTCGTACCCGACCGTCGCATCGTTGACCGTCGGCGCCACTCCCATCTTCATCGCCGCCTGCGCGATCATCGAGTCATCGTACGCATCCTCGCGTCCAACCTCACCTCCCCTCCCCCACCTGCGCCCGTGCCTTTTCCTGCGCCCGCGCCCGCTCCGCTCCCAGCCTCGCCCGCAGCCCTGCTCGCCGTCCCCGACTCCATCGGTCTGCCGCCTACAGCCACCGCCTACAGCCACCGCCTACAGCCACCGCCTACAGCCGCTTTCTGCAACCAAAGCCAGACGTCAAACGCCAAAGAGCTCGTTCCACACAACCTTGGAACACGCCGACTCGCTCCAACCCCACGAGCTCAACGCACCCGACCACCTTCAAGTCGAGTCTGCACCACTCCGCCTCCGCCACCACCGACGACCACCCCTCCCCCATTCCCCCCCTCCCCACCCTCACCACCCAAGTCGCACTAACAATTTTTTCACACCACCCCCCACCCCCCACCCCCTCCCGTACAACCTCACAACCCAACCAATTCCCCCCCCTTCTCCTCCCTCCCTTCCACCACCACCCCTCCCCCACCCCCCACCCCCACCCCCCACCACCCCCACCATTCATGCCCCACTTTATCACTCTCACCGAAGTAGAGGACGCAGCAGCACGACGTATCCAATGGTTCTTCCACACAGCCCGCCTCCGACGGCAGGCCGTGTCGGCTGCCTCGGCGGCTGCCTGTGACACGCTCCACACCCGTGGTCTGGACAAGTTGGGCGAGATGACAAGGACTGCTGCTGCTGCCCACTGGTTGGCGGCGTCTCTCTCGCAGCACAGCTCTACCTCTGCCACATGTCCATCCATCTCACCGTCGCCATCGCCATCGCCATCGCCATCGCCATCGCCATCGCCATCGCCGCACTCGCGCCCTCCTCCTCGCGCTTCCCGCTCTACAAAGGCTCACGCCTCGTCATCATCGCCTGCATCGTCAGCTCCGCCCTCGCCGAGCGCACCTCGTCCTCAGCCACTAAGACCGCCCCAGGCCTGTGGCTTTCCTCGTGGTCTCTCCGATGGCGATCTGGTCTCCGCGCCCATGATGGGCACGCCGCCGCCCGCCTCCCCGTTGCCGGGCGCTCTGGGCGCGCTGGTGGCGTCGGTGACCAATGGCCCAGCTGCGCCTGCGGCCGTGGCCCATGCCACCGACAATCAAGAGGCTTGTCCCGACTCGGGAACCGGCATTGACGCGCTGATGCGTCGTTGCCTGGTCCAGCTGGTCGAGGATGCCGTGCCAGAAGGCGCAGACCCGGCCTCGGTCCTGCACGACGCCCGCCTCGCCACCACAACCTCGCTTGTCCTCGCCGTCTATCCGCTGTGGATGTCTGCCGCCTGGCTTGCCCGTCTCCTTGTCCGCCGCATCGTCGCTCCGGCCACCCCGCCGTCGGTTGCGCAGGCGCTCCTCTACGTCCTCTCGGCGTGGTGGCGGCTCCTTTCGCGTCCGCGGCTCGGGCCGGGCGGATTAGTCGAACCGTCGGTCTCGGCCCTCGACGTCGCCGCCTTCATCACTGCCGGCCTCTCCTCGTGGGCGCCACGCCATCCCGACGTTGCCGCCGCCTCGGCTACCCTCCTTGTCCGCGTCTCTGCACCGCTCGCCCTCCCGCCGACCGACCTTCCACCGCCGACTCCTGTCGTGCCTTCAGCTTCGCTCCTCCGCAAGGCTGGTCCGCTCGCGACCATGCGCGCCGACGTCGCTGGGTTCAACGAGCGTCTTGCACTCGGGAGAGTCACCTCCTCCAAGTCGCTCCTCGCCAACGACGCGCTCCTCGTCGCCTCGCAGCTGACCCTCATTGAGTCAGCCTCGTTTGCTCGCATCGACCTTGTCGAGTGGCACGCCTACATCCGGCTCTATCCGCGCCTCGCCGCCGCCCGCCTCGCCCCGCACACCGCCTGGCCGCTCGTTGCTGCTGCACCCAACCTCACCACCCTCCTGCTCCGTCAGGAGGCCGTCTCCGCCTGGGCTCGCTCGCTCGTCCTGCAGCCGCAGTTTCTCAACGCCCAGCTGGTCCGTGTCGTGTGGCTTGTCCAGGTTGCGCGCTTTGCCTTTGACCTCCGCAACCACGCCACCGCCGCCGCCATCGTCACCGGCCTCCTCTCGCTCCAGGTCCGCTCTGCCACCGCCCTCTGGCGCCACCTGCCAAAGGCCACTGGCATGCTCCTCGCCGAGCTCCATGCCGCCCTCCTCGCGCCGGCAGGCGACTCGCCGTTTGCCGCCACCTCGCGCTACCTCGACGAGACCAACGACTCATGGCTCGCCCTCGACGAGCTTGCGCCGCATCTCGCGTGTGTCGCGCCTCGCCTCGCCCATGCCCGTCGCGGCTTCCGCCTCCTCTCGCGGCTGTGGTCCAAGCGCGGCGGTGGCTCGCCGCTCATCCCGGTCGTCCCGCGCATCCTGCACGCCATGATCACCTCGGTCCCCTGCGGCGCGTGCATCGCCCACCTCCCGTCGCGCCCAGCCTTTATGGTCGCCTCGCTGGTCGCCTCTCTCGATGCCCTCGACCCGCTCGCCTCAGCCCTCTCCTCGCTCACCCGCCTCTCCGCCGCCCACGCCGGCTATGCCCTCCTCACCACCGCCCTCTCTACACACCGCGTCTACGGCCAGTTCCCGATCGCTTCGCCCACCCTTCTCGCCCTCGTCGACCGCACCATCTGGCGCCCTCTGCTCGACGCCTACTCGCTCTCGCCGCACGACTCGACCGGCCCGCCCGAGGCCACCCTCCTCGCCGCCGCCCGCATCTCGCCGCTCCTCGACCCCATGCAGGGCCTGGTCCCGCACGCTTGCTCGCCGCTGCCGCTCTCGCTCGACGCATTTGCCGCAGAGCCTGGCGCTGCCACCCCCCACGTCTGGGAGGCTGCGCTCGTCGAGGCTCACCCGGCCCGGCCCTCGGGCCCTTCGGGCCTCTTCTCGCTTGGCCGTATGCTCCTTGGCGCCGTCTTTCCCGAGGCCGGCCTCCACTCGCCGTCGGCCTCGGTCGGCACCCGCCCACACACCCGTCTCTGGGGCTACCTCGCCATCCACAACTCCAAGGGCCTCTACTTTGTCGCCACTCCGCGCCTCGGCCCGCGCACAGAGCGCATGGTCACCTGGGACGCCGTCGCCACCATGGCTCTCGGATCCTCCGGCTCTGCCCTGCTCATCCGCACCCGCCTCGGCGCTGTCTACACATTTACCCACATCACCCCGCTGTGGAGCCCGGACCCGTCGCCCCACCGCAACATCTCCCGCCCGCCGCCCGCCGACGTCCTCCTCAACACCCTCCACACCCAGATGGCCAAGTTCCGCGCAGACACCGACGCCTCGGCCCTCTCGCAGACCCTAGTCGCCCACAATGTCAACTCGCCAGGCTCGACCCCGCGCGGCGCGTCTGCCGCACGCCGGGTTCCGCCCCGCAAGCCACCGCTCCCGCCGTCAAACTCGACCGAGGCCGAGCTGTACGACGACGAGTCGACCGAGCTCAACGCTTCCTTTGCCGCCCCGGCCACCACCACAGACTCGATCCTCATCTTTTCCGACGACTCGCTCACCACAGGCTGGGACGCTCTCTCGTTCTCCTCCTCCGGTCCTGACCCGTACTTCTCGTCGTCTTCCGGCGCTTCGGGCGGGCCCGGTACCCTCTCCGACTCGGCCTGCGCCGCCGACCGCTCGTCGCCCAACCCGCGCGCGCGTGCCCGTCGCTCGCCCATCCCCTTTGCCGACGATGCCGCCGCGCTCAAGCGCGCCCAGAAGAAGCGCGTGCCGCCGTGGAAGCGCGCTCGCCTCCGCCGCGCGCTCCCGGCCCCGCCGCGCGTCGCAAGACCGTCGCGTGTCTCTCAGGAGGCGCTCGCCAAAGAGTATCTCGAGGCCTCCGAGGGTGCCCCGCTCGAGTCGGGTATCGCGCTGCAGGAAGTCAACTCGAACCGCGGCATCGTGCTGTTTTCATTCGACACCCTCAAGCCCGGTCGCGCCTACACCTCGCTCACGTCGGGCCTCCGCATCTCGCGCTCCGGTGAAGGCTCGATCCGCATCGGCAACAAGCTCTTCTCCATCCCGGTCACCCAGTCGCTCTCACCAACTCTTGCTGTCTCGACTCCGTCGCTCCGCCAGAAGCGCTCGTCCGAGCTTGTCCGGCTCGCCCACATCAACTCGGCCCTCGCCGCCCAGCACGACCGCGAAGCCGCCCGCGCCGCAAAGGCCGTCATGCTTTACGAGCGCGCACAGGCTCACATCCGCGCCAAAGAGGCCCGTGCAGAGGCCCGCGCCCGTGCAGACTTTGAGCGCGAGCGCCGTGCAGCATTCAAGTCCCGCAGGGACGCCGTCGCTGCTCAGCGGCGCCGCGTTGCCGCACGCCGTGCCGCACGTCCGACCTCGCCAAACGCATCGAACCCGACCTCGCCGACCTCGTCCTCGTCGGCTGCACGCAAATCGCGCACCCGGACAAAGTCGTCCACTAAGCGCGCCCGCCCGCAACCGCCACTACCGGTCCCGGTCGAGGCCGCGCCAACCGCAGTGACACCGTAGCAGCTCACGCAGACCCAGCCGCCGCGCCCGAGCCCGAGCTCGAACTCGAGTATGAGTAGCTCGAGCCCGAGCCCGAGCCCGAGCCCGAGCCCGAGCCCGAGCCCGAGCAGCTGGCGCTTGTCAGCGCCGTGCCTCCGTTTTTGCCGGTAGACTCGGTCGCCGGCACCGAGCCCGACGTGGGCGAGTAGTTGTCCGAGTCAGTGCCCGAGAGCGAGTCGAAGGCGCCCGACCGCGACCGCGACCTCGCGCGGAGCACCGGGTGCAGGGTCGGCGTCAGTCGCCGCCCTCGCGAACCCTCACGCATATGCTCTACCGCCGAGTCGTCGTCCTCGTTGTCCGAGTCAATGGCCGAGTCGTCCGACGCCGAGCCGGCGTTCGACGAAAGCGACGACTCGCGCGACTGGATGCTCGCTCGGGTAGTCGCCAGCCACCGCCGTCCGAGCATGACCGAGAGCGAGATAGCGGCCATTGACTTGACCTTGACCGCCGCCGCCATCACCTCCTGGGCCGGAATGACAATGTCTGGCTCCTCGACCGGCGACAGCGGCGCGGCGCCTCCGCAGGTCACCCACTCGTTGGCCATGATGTCAGCCATAGTGTACCGCGCGTCCGGATCCTTGGTCAGCAGGCCGTCGAGGAGCTCCCGGAGCGCCGGCGGCGTCGCCGGCGACGCCGGATACTCGACCGAGTTGTGGAGGATGGCGTCAAAAAGCTTCTTCTGCGTTGCAAACGGATTGCCTCCCGGCGGAGGCTCGAAAGGTAGCGCGCCAAAGACAAATGAGTAGAGCGTGACGCCGAGCGCCCAGAGGTCGACCGGCTTGCCCTTGACGTCGGACGACGCACAGAGCTCAGGCGCCATAAACGCGGGTGTGCCCTTGGATGCCGTCGTCATCACGTCAGTCGTCTCAAACACGAGCGCCACCCAAAGTCGGCAATCTTGACCGTCCCGTCTCGGCTCAACAACAGATTCTCCGGCTTGAGGTCGCGGTGGATTACGTGGTGCGAGTGGAGGTAGTCGAGGCCCTGCACCACGTCGCGAAAGTAGTTGCATGCCGTGCCTAGCGTCGGCAGCGACTTGTGCAACGAGATGTCGAGCGAGAGCCCGCCAGGCAGGTACTCCATCACCAGGTACACCAGCGGGCCGGTTCCCTGCGACGCGTGGAGCGGCTTCTCGTACATGACCTCGACGAGCTTGACCACGTTTGGATGCGTCAGCCGCTTCATAACCGCAATCTCGTGCCGCGCCCCGAGCTCGTCGTCAAGCAGCGCCTTGGCCTCGGGTCCCAGCTCGTACGAGTCTGACGTCACAGATCGTGACGATGGCCGCAAAGACGACGACGCCGCCGCCGCCTTTGTGCTGATCGTCGTCGGCGCTGCAGACACTGCTCGCCCACTGCTCCGCACCCGCCGCGCGTCCAGTGCCCGCACCCGCGCCTCGCTGTGTGACTTGGCATCGGTCCCTGACCGCCGGCCAGCCGCCCGTGCCAGCGACGCAAACCGCTTTGCAGGCGGCCCACGCACGAGCGGCCGCGACGGTAGCACCTTGCGCGAGATCGACGTGTTGGGTAGAACCTTCATCGCAAACGTAAACTGGTGCTCGTCGACAACAGCCTCGTCCAGCGGCCGCTCGGCACGCGCCTTGGCCGCCGCCTTGGCCGCCGCCTTGGCCTTGAGTGTATCGACTACCTTGTACACATCGCCAAATGAGCCCTTGCCGACCTTGCCTACAATTTTGAACTGGTTGACCATGATCGAGCCCGAGTCCTTTCGCTTGTGAACTCCATAAGTCTCGCCCACACCGAGGTGGCTCGAGTGTCGCACCAGCGGGTCGCCGCTCCGCTGCAGCAGAGGCGACGTCTTGTTCTTTGCTAGCGGGTTGACTCCGACGTCAGAGCTTCCAGTCTCGGACGCTGCCAAGCTCGAGTCGCTGTACTGCAGGTTGACGTCCGAGAGGGAGCCGCCGATTCCGAGCTGCAGCGAGCGTACAAGCACAGTGCCCGAGCCCGAGCCCGAGCCCGAGACTGATCCACTGCCGTCGTCCGAGCCCGAGCCGGGGCCCAAGCACGTTGCGTCACTCACTGCCGCCAGCTCGTGTGCAGTCACAGTCGCGTCGACTCCGTCGTCCTCAAACGCCGTCACTTGCAAGACTGGCATCGACTTGTCGAGCGCAAACGCCGCGTCCGGCGAGAGCATGCTGGTCACGTTCTTGCAGCCGTCGCCATCAGCCTCAGTCCGCACCACCGGAGTAGCTGGCTGGTGCACAATGTCCGGGACCACGCCGGTCGGGCCCAAGCCATGTGTGGCTACAGTCGGCGGCAGCCTGCTGCCGGTTGCTGCGGCATCTCCCTCTCTGTCATCGCCGTCCAACTCGTCAAAGAGGGAGAGGCGAGAGAAGGCACCCGGGCCGAGAGTGGTCGACTTTGACTTGCGTAAGCCCCTACCTGATGACGACGATGACGAGCCGTGTCCAGCCCCTGCTGCAGCAGCAGCAGCAGCTCTCCGAGCATCCACCGGAAGATGATGGCTCTCACCAGGAGCAACCAAACTCTGTCCGTGGCGCAAGCCGTCTCCGGCCTGTCCAGAGGAGGGACCACCCAGAGTAGCAATGGCATCAGCAGGATCAGCATGAACTGTGATATCGAATACCTTGCCCAGGTCCATGGTGGGTGTTGATGGTGTCGTCGGGGTGGCGGGGGTGGCTGGAGGGGGTGACGACATGATCAGTGTGGGGACGGGGGGAGGGGGGAGGGGGAGGGGAGGGTGGTGGTGGGAGTGGTGGGAGTGGTGGCTGTGGGAGTGGTGGTGAGGGAAAGGAGGGTGGTGGTGGCTGTGGGAGTGGAGTGGTGGGGATGGTGGCTGTGTGTGGGGGGGTGGGGGGTGGCTCTGTGTTCGGTCCGTCGGAACCGCGTGCTGCGGCTGGGCGTCACTGATTTGTGCTGTGCACGAGTTGCGGGGGGAAAAGGGAAAGGAAGGGGGGGGGAGTGGGGGGGAGGAAAGGCTCCTACAACATGCCGCCCTTAATCAGCCGCAGAATGTCGTAGTAGTTGCCGTATGCGGTCTGAGCCACGCCCGGATCGGTCTCAAAGACAGTGGTCGGGCCCATGGTGTCGGTGACTACCGTGAGCGCCGACGACGAGCCGACGACGTGGGCGAGCGGGTTGCTGAGCGGGAGACGGCGGAGGGCCACAGATCCGGTCCCGGTCGCGATGTCGCCCGAGCACACAACCTTGAGCACCTCGCCAGCCGCGGCCGCGTCGGCAATGTCGGCTGCAGTGACGCCGGCGACCGAGTCGCGGACAATGTCGGTCGGGCGGACCGAGTGTGGCGACCAGACGTTGAGGAGGGCGGCGACCTTGGCGGCGGCGTCCCAGCCGTCCATGTCGGTCGACGGGTCGGCCTCGGCAATGCCGACGGCCTGGGCGCTGGCGATGGCATCGGCCATAGAGACGCCGTCGGCCATGGCGCAGAGCACAATGTTCGAGGTCGAGTTGAGGATGCCCTCGAAGGAGACGACCTTGGAGCCGGTCAGCGCCTCGTCGACAAGGCTGAACACCGGCGCGCCGTCCATGACCACCGACTCGAAGCGGAAGCCCACACCAGCCTGCTTAGCTGCCGCCGCAAGCTCTTTGTACTGCGTGGCCACGGGGCCCTTGTTCGAGGTCACCACGTGCTTGCCGGCGGCAAAAGCGGCACGGATGTACGACGCCGCAGGCTCGCCCGTCTCAAAGTCCAGCACTGAGTTCTCCACCACCACTGCGCCCGGTGAGACCGCCAGCATCTCCTCCACTGACTCGATCGTTGTCCACGCCTCGGGCCACTCGCTCCGCTCCGGAAGGCTCAGATCCCCCGGGCTGAGCTCGATCGGATGCTCCACGTCGCGGGTTGCCACAGACAGGCCCGATCTCGTCCGGATGCCCGTCACTACAAGCTTGCGCCCGGTCGCCTCGACACAGCGATGGAGGAGCGGAAGAAGCGCCTTGCCCACAGAGCCAAAGCCAATCAGATCGAGGCCAACCGTCGTCTGCGCCATGGTGTTTGTCGCTCGTTGGGGACGGTGGAGGCGGTGGTGGAGCTGAGTGGAGTGTGGCCACGCCGTGCCTCGACCACGTGGAGACGGTACACGAATGGTCTAGTCTGATCACATGCCCGGCTCGATCGGCCTCCACGCACGACGATCTCTACTGTCTACTGTCGTCAGGTACTTTCTGATCGACCGCCGCGGTCACTGGTAGCTGGCCTCAGCAGCGCAGTGCAAACAAAATCCGCTGGAAAACCACGAAAACGTCCCTCCCCTGCCGAGCATCAACGGCTGCACGTGGTCTTCACACCCTCCCGAGACACCGGGGCCAATACCAATATCGCACGCTTCTCTCCATCACCACAAGACGACAATGAAGACGACTACTTCTGCAATGGTACTCGCCATGGCGCTTCTCGCCAGCCTGGCGTCTGCGACCAACCTCTGGGTTGGGTATGGGAGCGCGAACGGGCGTGGAATTGCGCCGCTGAACATCACGGGTGGGACGGTTTTTATGGGCCCGACCTCGAGGGCCGAGGCGATCCGACAGCCTTGGATGGAGCCGATTGTGGGCAAGACTGATTGCGGTAAGGCGATCGGCTTTATGGACTCGCTGGAGTACAACCGGTACAACTACGTCGAGATCTGCGACGACGCCGCGACGTACTCCAAGCCATTCGTGCCGTCCATCGGCTACTCGCGCTCGTGGATCGCCGCCGGCGTGGCGCCCGTCTCGGGCAAGCCGATCGGCATCTCGATGTCCTACTCCAGCCAGGGCCCTGTTGTTGTGCTCTTTGATTCGCAGACGGCAAAGCCGGTGTCGGAGGTTGACTCGGACGTTGCCGCCGCCGGCCGCCCGTCGGCTATGACCTGGATGACCGACTCGTTCGGCTCGATCGAAGGCGCCATTGTGCAGTACTCGACTGGCTCCAGCTGGCAGGCCGTCAACGTGCCGGTCGACGGCGGGCAGGCGTCAATTGTGGCCTCGGGCTCCGACGATCCCTACATTGCACTCGCGCAGGGCTTCTTCTTCTCCACTTCCAAGGAGCTGTACGGCCTCCGCGCCGGCTCGGCTGGCAACGTCACCTTTGTCACCTCCGACTCGTCCAACCCGCTTGACGCGCCCAAGGTTGTTGCCCAGCTCCCTCAGGAGATCTACTCGTGCGCGTCAACGATGGCTGTCTCGACGCGCACCGCCTACGTTCTCTGCTCGCAGCGCGGCCAGAACTCGGGCTCGCCCAACGTGCTTGTTGAGATCCACGCCGGCCTCGGCACCGTCAACACCTACCCGCTTGAGTTTGCCAGCACCTCGTACGCCTTTGGCTACCTTGTCAACATCTAGTGGCATAAACGCAAGTCATTTTTTCGCTTGTCCTGCGCGCTCAACTGGCATGCGCAGCGGGACCGATGCATACACGCCGCCGCCGGCTGCGGGGCCTCAGCTTGCGTTGGCGAGCGATGATGTCCCGCTCATGGGCCTCACCACAGCCACGAGATCAGAGCGGCAGCAGAGGCGTAGCTGACGTACGCGGCGGGTAGAGCGTAAAGGACCGCCCACTGGGCAAGCCACGAGTAAACCGACCAGGTGTACGCCGCAGGCTGCGCCGACGCGACCGGGTCCGGGAAGGCGCCGGTGGCGTAAAAGATGTCCAGCAGCCGGTCCTTCTCGACAAAGAACTCGTAGAGCCACGCGGCAAAGGCGTCGTCATCGTTGATGATGGCGGCGGGCGGAACCGGGACCTTGCGGCAGTGGATGTGAATGGGCAGGCCGCCGTCGCGCGGCAGGGCGAGGTCGATCGGGCGCCACGGTCCGTAGTCACCGTCCTTGGCGTTGCGCGGATAGCCGAGGGTGACGTCGAAGATGTCGGTGACGGCATCGCCGAGTGTGCGGAGGGCGACGGCAAAGGCCTTGGTCCGCGGCAGGAGGTGGTGCTTGAGCGGAACAAGGCCCTGCGCGCCCGCCCACTTGATCGACTTGGCAAAGAGCTTCTTGGTCTGAACCGAGCCTTCAGGCGAGAAGAAGAGCCACTGCGCCATATGGTTAGGGTCGGCAATGTCCGAGACGCCGCGGACGAGCTCGGCCTCGTTCCGGGCCGCCGCTGCAGGGCTCGACTTGCCCGACGAGACAAAGATGTCGTCGCGCATCCAGTGCATCCATCCGTGCGGGAGGTTGAGCAGGTAGCGGATGGAGATCCAGCGGAAGCACTTGGACGACACGCCCTGGAGCGTGGCCATGAAGCAGCCGAGCATCATGGCGTCGGCAAAGGAAAGGTGATTAAAGGTCACGGCGCCACCACGCTTCCGTCCTTCGGTCAGCGTGTGATGCGGCGGAATGGCCACGCCATACCGATACACCCGCGTCCCCGCCCACCACGTCGTCACGGCAACGACCCATATCGAGGTGAGGTTGAAGCAGTACGTGGCAATCTCCAAGTACGCCGACCGGAGGCCTGGCAGGTACTTGAGCGGCAGGGCGAGGCCAGCCAGGACCGCAAAGTACACATACTGCGTTACCGTCACAATGCCCACAAGCCCTGCGCATGCATACGTCACAAACTTGTGCATACGTGCTCCTCTGTCCCCGCCTTCTCTCTAGCAAGACGTGTGTCCGCCCCTCGCGCCAGCCCCTTTCCCCCCCCCCCCCCCCCCAGCGCCCGCCCCCCCTCCCCTCGCCTGCCACCGCCCTCCGCCCCGACATGCGCACGAGCCGACCAAGCCCCAGCCAAGGCCAAGCCGTCTGTCTCCATCCCCCCCCTCCCCTCCCTCCCTCCCTCCCTCCCTCCCTCCTCATCCCTCTATACCCTCTATATCCATACTCTCATACACTAAAACACTTCTGATCGTGATCGATAGCCATAGGCCATTCCCTGCCTTACCGCCTGGCTCGTCCTGCACCATACCTGATCGCGATCACGATCGCCACCTTCAGGAAAAAGTCACTTTTAGGCGCCATCCCACCACACACCACCACTTCCACCCCCCCCCCCCCACCTACACACACACACACACACACACACACACACACACACATACCAGTCACACATCTATGTCGTACTCTGGACAGAAGCGTGAGGCTGAGGGCTCGTGGGGAGGCGAGCAGGCGTCCAAGTCGCGCAAGACGCTCTCCGGCTCGGCCATGCCGACGGCCAATTCGGCCGGCAACGGCGCAGGCGGCGCGGCCGGAGCTGGAGGCTACGGCTACGCTCAGTCTGGCTACGGCTATGCTGCGCCTGCTGCCGGTGGCTATGGGTATGCTGCTGCTGCGCCGAGCGCCGCCGGGTACGACCCGTCCGGAGCGTGGGCTGCGGCGGGGTACGCCGGCTACGGCTATGCCGCTGCGCCCGCTGCCGGCGGATATGGGATGGCGGCTGGCGGCGCGCCGGCGGGCTACGGCTACGGTGCAGGCGTGGGCGGAGCCCAGGCGCCTGGGATGGAGGAGAACCGGGTGTATGTTGGATCCATCTCGTACTCGGCCAACGAGGGTGACGTGCACGCCCTCTTCTCGCAGATTGGGCCCATCCAGTCCATTACCATGCCCCGCGACCGCGAGCTCGACCGCCACAAGGGCTTTGCCTTTGTCGCCTTCCACTACCCGCAGTCGGCGTACCAGGCCATTGCGTCGCTCGACGGCTACGAGTTTGCTGGCCGCAACCTCCGGGTCTCGCGCCCCCAGAACCCGGCGGTGACCCGCGGCGACAGCTCGGGCGGCCACGCTGGCGGCCACATGGGCGGCCACGGCGCGCCCTCGCACGTCATGGACCTGCGCCTCTCGGACCACAACCCGCCGCCGGGCGTCGACCCCTCGGCGTCAACCCGCCCCAACCGCATCTACGTCGGCGCCATCCAGTTTGCTGCCTCGGCCCACGACGTCAAGGCCGCCTTTGAGCTCGTCGGCCCCGTCCGCAATGTCCAGCTCATTGCCCACCCGGCCTCGGGCCGCCACCGCGGCTACGGCTTTGTCGAGTTCTGGCACCTCGAGTCAGCCGACCGCGCCGTCCAGACCATGAACGGCTACGACCTTCAGGGCCGCCCGCTCAAGGTCGACTGGGCCTCGCCGCCCAACGACCCGAAGCTCCGCAACGAGGTCGCCGCTGCTGTCCCCGCCCTTGCAGACACCGCCGTCCCGCTTGCCGAGCAGCCTGCCGCTGCCCCGGTCGCCGACGCCCCGACCTTTGCCACCTACTCTTCCGAGTCGTTTGGCGCGTATGGCGCGGCAGCCGCCAACCCGGCTGCTGACCCGACCGCTGCCGCTGCCGCTGCCCCCGCTGCCGCTGCCGCTGCCGCTGTCCCCGCTGCCGAAGACCCCACCCCTTCCGCTGACCCGGCCCCTGCCGACGCCCCCCGCCCCCGCTTCCGATGCCGACGCCT